GAGCCGGCGTCGCGGAGAGGTCGTACACGGAACGCGGTATCGAGAGGGACTCGTCGGAGATGAGGTGAAGGCGGTACGGAGGCTTCGAGGGCGAGGCCGCGAGGTGCGACGCGAGGTAGGCGTGGAGTTGGGCGGCACGGTGGGATTTGCCCGATGTTGGGAGGCCCGTTACTATGATGAGCTGGGCGCCATTAGGTGTCTGTTGTGATGGCGGGGGTACAGAACAGGGTTCGGATCGAGGGAAAGAGACGTACGGGCATGGTGATCAGCCTTTGGGCATGACGGTTCGAGATTGAGGCCTAGTCGTCGGCAAAGTTGAATAGTCCTAGGTTTGTCGAGAGGGAAGCTCGACAGATGGCGGGGCTGGAATTTTCCCGATCTGCAACCCCACCTGCCCAAGATGGGCGGCCTTCCGCTTTCCTCCACACAACATGGCTTGATGGGTCCCCAACGTCAAGCTCACATGTCATCAAGGTACCTAGTCACCTCAACCAGCATCTCACGATGGGCTTCCTTCGGAACATCATGAATGAGGCGCAGATCTACAGGGTTTAGCAGGAACAAAATCAAGTTTATATTGATCCACCAGTGGGCGTTTCATAGAGTCCCCTGGCGGCACAATGATTGACGCATCACCACGCATCCGATGGTCAAGGAAGTACGTCTATTGGAGCTTCAGCATTGAGGCCTCACATTTGCGTCATCAAGCATCCACACCCTCAATGCCGTCGATGTACGCAAGTATCCTCTCCCCGGTCAGGTCCATCATTTCTCTGAGGTACAGATCTCTCCCGCTCGGCGGGTTCGCCTTCTTCCTCGCTCCGCGGAAACCTCTGCCCTGCGATTTCTTCGTCCTCTCCTTCCTGGCCTCGATTCCCTTGGCCGCTGCCGCCCGTAGCGCCCCTCTACGCGTGTCGGGGTCGTCCGCCGGGATGATGAGCAGCGCAGCTTCTAGCACCAACGCCAGCTTCACGTTGTCATCCAGATCGTCAGTGTTTGCCGGCCATGGCAGGAAGCTTCGTGTTAGTGTTTCCGCCGTGATCACAAAAAAGCCCCCCTTTGCTTCCTCGTTGTAGTCGGCTGGATCTTCGTACTTTGGCGGCAGCAGGCTGTCAAGAAGAAAGCCTAGAACTTCGATCGCAACGGAACCGTCTGCCCCGTTCGCTGTAGCAACATCAAGTAGCGACGAGAGATAGAGCTGGAGCCTCGGTGGCGGCAGGTCCTTCAGTTGCCGGACGAACTCGACGAAAACGTCTTGAAAGTCAGCCAGCGCTGTGGGAAGGGCAAAAGCGGCTCCCGCCACAAGGGCGAAGATGCGGATGCGCAGGGGAGCTGCCTCCATCATGCCGTCAGGAGGGTCCTCGTGGATGAGTTGGCGAGGGCTCCGCGGGGTCGACCATGGCGAACGGTTGGCGGCGTCGAGGTCGAGATCGTCGTCGGAATCCGTAAGGTCCATGTAGCCCCCGTACTCGCCCTGTTCCACATCTACGGCAGTAGGGATCTTTTGGGCTTCCTGCTTATCCTCCTGCGTGAGCTGCTTGGATTCGTTGCGGAATATCTCCTGGAACAGTCGTCGCGACACCTGCTGGCCGTCTGCCAAGATGGCCTTCATCGTGCGGCTCATCCGTGCGCGGCCGGACCGCATATGGTTGGTGTACATCATGAACAGAGACTCCTCGCGATGCCTGGTGCAAGGCTTGTCATCGGACTGCACGGGTTCATCGGCATCGAGTAATGCCCGCTGCGACCAATCTGCCTCGAGCGCCTCCACCATGAACTCCAGCCAAACCTTCCAATATGGCCATCGATGCCCGTGAAGGCTGCTGCAGAGGAAACCCCAGCCGACGACGTGCCAGAAGTCTTCAGCCAAGTGGAAGAGGCTTTCCTCGTTGGCATACTTGTTGTAAATCTTTTCCTCGTCAATGCCGTCGTCGTCGTCGTCGCCAGCAGCGACATGGCGACGATGGGGCCGATACGGCCCACGAAATGCAAATGCCGTCTTGAAATCGGCGTTCAGCGGCCCTGCGATGGCGAGCACGCCCTTCAGATACGTCCAGGTCTCGCCGACCACGACGCCATCGTCATCCTCCTTGAGCCGCGTCGTGCGGTGGGGATGCACAGTAAGGGTGGACAGCAGAGCCAGCTGGCCAGCGGGAGCGACAGTCGCTGGCTTCGGCAGACCGTCCTTGCGCGCATGGCCCGAGGTGAGCATCTGGCCGAGCATGAAAATAGCTTTCGTGTCTTGGAAATCTGCGTCAGTACGTCTCAAGTTCGAGAGGCGTGGTTGAGGCGTGGGTGAGGCGTAGGGGGGAAGGGGAGGGGAGGGGAGGGGAGGGGAGGGGAGGGGAGGTACAGAGTTGTTCCTCGAGCAGGATCTTGCATTGCGCCTCCAGCTCACGACGGAGAGGTGCCGCCTCGTGGTACACAATTGTTGAATGAATAGCAGCACCATCGTTGTTGTGTATTCTGAGCGTCTTGTCTTCGTTTTTTGCGACACCGCCCGGTGTCTGGACAGCTGTGGCGAAGGAGTCTGGCGAGGACCTCTCAGAAAGGTCCGAAAGGAACGAGGATGCCCTTGACCCCGCCATGGCAACGATGTCTCGGTGGTCAAGTCGCCGTCATTGAGAGGAAGTGTTTCAACAGCTCGCTTCCGGTTCTAATAATCGTCGATGCCAAAATTTAAAAAAAGATCTCGTATGACGGCACACCAGCGTTCCTACACTTCATCCCATGTTGACAGGCGCGCCTAGGCAGTCAGTGGCAGGGAGAATGTCTCGACTGAGGTGATTGACTGACGTCTGTTTGCCTAGAGTGGACCTCACCCCACCCCACCCCTGCAGGACATCCAAACCAAACATCCTCCCCCCCCCTTCTCCCCAGACCCCTTCGCTCAACCGCCCCTCCTTTACACTTCCTTGCCATGGTTACAGTTCGATCTCTGGTAGGAGTTCGGTACGGTACACACCATCACGACCACGGCGGCAGCAGCCATAGACCAATGAAGACCGACCCGATCGTATATCCAACCAGAAGAATTGCCAATAAGGCTGAACATGAATTCCCCAGAAAAGGCAAAAACAAAGTGCGTGTCACAATCACATGACTGTGGCTGTGCCACTTACGACCGCGATTTGCTTCTTTGCGAGCCAAGGCTTGAAGTAAAGCCCGCCAGAACCTCTCGACCACGACACACATGGTCACTGGAGCAGGGGGGGAAGCAGGGAAAAAAAAAGAAAGAAAAAATGCCAGACCAGGTTTTAAGAGTCATATCGTATATTTGGAGTTCTCCACGTGCGCATCGTATCGTCTCATATCATATTGTACCGAACATGGCCGTTCCTCGTGTACCTTGCTGCCATGTTCAAACCCATTCCGAGGTCTAAGTCCCGCTCTGCCACCCTCCTGCTGGATTTCCCCGGGTGTTCCTTCTCGTCATTCTGTCCCCGTGACTGCGTCTCGTGTGTGCGTGTGTGCGCGCGCTGGGCCCGTACGTCCTGCGACTTCTGCCAGCGCTCCTCAACGAGCTTCTGTTCTGTTCTGTTCTGTTCTGTATACTGCGTGGTGGATCGACCGTGTAGTCATGCCTTCTAAGTGGTGATGGTCCCGTTTTTGGCCCTCCCCCAGGAACGTGCCGGGGGGGTTCTGTGGCGTTTTTTTCTCTTTTTGTTTGGTGTTGCTGTATATCTCGTGTTGTGTAGGATCTCGAGAGCCTCTCGTTCATCGAGGTGAGCAGCTTCAGCCAATGGCTAGCATAACTGTTAGCTGGTGTCGTGTGAAAGAGCTTGGGGGCAACGTACTCGGGTCACCGGGCTGGGGGGCAGAGCAGAGGGCCGTACGGCAGCGAACGACGATAGCGTTGTAAGTGGTCATTGTGTTGGAGATGGTGGACAACGAAGTGGTTGGGATAGAAGCGCAGATAGGCATGTAGATGTTGGCTGAGTATGGAGAAGACTGTAAAGGGCGGATGAAGACTTTATGTAGGCTGGTGAGAATCAAGGCGAGGATGAAGTAAGTTGTGCGAGGATCGAAATAGACATTACGAGTAGAGCTCCTGGATATATATAGAGAGAGAGAGGCAATCGTAGATACATCATACTGTCTCTGGCATCTACCATGATACAACCCTTTCCAGGTACCGAAAGTGCCATGCAAAATGCCTTCAAGGCAGCGAGGCGATGAAGCTCCGCCTTGGACCCTGGACCGACTCTAGCCTCTGCCCATCAGGTGGAATTCGAAATGCCGACGCAAGACCAAAACCAATGACAATACCCAGACGACGGTACAATGGCAGGCGGCAGCCTGGTGAGGCCCCATTTTTCGGTAAGGCACGTATATGGTAGTCGTCGAGGAACGGAGACAAGTCGACTGCGCTCGATTGGCTCCATGCGAGGGTGTTTCGCAGGGTTCGCTTGCGTCGACGTGAGAAGGGCCGCTTGTCGAGTCGAGGGCGTGGGGAAGTACTACAGTGCATCAGTGAGTCGAATCCGAAGTCTTGTCCGGCCTCGACTCAGGCATCCTTGATCTGGCCGAGATACATCGCCGAGCCCGCCAAGTTGAACAACCATTGCCCCGTGTACTAGCGCTGTGCGGTGTCAGCAGAGGTACCTGGGCAGGTATACTGTGGAGGGCAAAGAAAGCCCGGCACGCGCCACCGGCACCGCCCAGATTGGGACGAGATATCGCAGGGGACTTCATGACACCGAAGAAAGAATACCGAGGGGAGGCAGAGTGGCAGGGGGCCAGGGCGCAGTGGTCATAGACATGGGGACGTCTGCCTGGAGAATTGGGGCCGCCAGAAACCAGCCCCGTCTTCGCGGACTCGTCCTCGAGGGCCTCGGTGGCCTCGAGTCTCGAACTGACACACCGGGGAGCGCAGCTTGAGGTAGAAGCCTGGAAGACAAGGACGAAATGGGACACCGAAGGGATGGGTAAGCCGAGCGACGCGATGCGAAACTTCGCTCCTTCGCCAACCACAGCGCATCGCAGCATCCCGCTTGGGACCAGTGGGAAAACGGTAATGGGATTCCGGTATGTGGACATCGCGGGGTCTCGCAATCTAGGCCCGCCCTGACACGACCTGATACTGCAGGGGAAACTGCTGAGAGACATGTGTAAGGCTGAATTGAATGTGTGGATGACTCAACGCGATCGTCACCAGGCAAGACATGACGGAATAAACTTGGTGCGAGATGTTGTACTTGGGAGATAAGAGGCTCAGACGAGCGACAGGACCTTGGCGCTAGAGCAGCACAGTAGCAAAAGCAGAAATATCATGTCGGGAACCACTACTGGTCTCGGGAAGACCGGCCGCACAAAGACGTTGCAAATCCGAGGAGAAAGGCAGTGAATGACCCATGCCGTTCTAGCACATAGTTTGACCGATGACAAGGTAGGCGAACTGGGACCGGTTGATTATAGTGCGAAAAGTGTATGAGTGGGAAAAGAAGAAGAAGAGCAGGACGCGGCGCCAGACGAGGCGGACAAGGCACATGAGCCCGCCCTGCCTGCTGCCTGCCCTCAAGTGGAGCGCACACATGACCTGCTGACATAAGGTCTGGCTATCTTCGGACTAGCGTCCTTTTTGGAATTGGCGTCTGTTCAAAAGTCGAAATTTCTCGCATCTCTACTGCCATACACCTCTTCCCCTACACCAGATTCTTCCGACTGTCCGATTCCAACCAAACTTCGACCTTTTCAAGCCCATCTTGAATCGACCGATGCAACTGCTGGCTCGCGGTCCCGTACTTGAGCTTGTGGACGAATTGATATCTTTTCATGTTATATCAATACCCAGTCCTTGCGAGTCTGACGGCCTGGTCAGACTACCTATGTTTGAAGCTCTCGACGGGACAAAAACACTCAACCCGATCCAAAGCGACCGCGACATTCAAAGGCTGGCTCGGCAAGAAGAAATTTGGTCTATTGGTCTCTCGAAGAAACTAGCGTGCCCATCCGTCGACTGGAAGAGAGAACGCCTGATGGCGCGCCTCCGTGCCACTTGACTATATTCCCCCGGCTACGGCCAACCCACGACTTGCCTACACCCCGCGCTCTTAGTACGCAGGAGTGTCAACTTATTTTATTCGTTCGTATGTGGGAGAACAAACTCAAGGTCTAGACAACCTGTCCGCTCCACCCTACTGCCATCGAGAAACTGTGTGGCAGTAGGACTAAAATCGGACGAACATCCTTCGTCGTGTCCAAATTGCCTTGATTCTGCCATTCCGTTTTGAAAACAGGCCGCTGCGCTATGCTAAGAGATCTACATCGGAGGAGAGTCATGAAAATCCTGTCTGCACCATTCTGTCACCCTGATCGCATTATGCCGCGCTGAGATCCATCATGTCCCGCTGCTGGCTGTTCACCCATTCTCGCACGGCTGCACTGGGCAACGGCACACAGCCCTGCTTTGGCATAACACCAAAGATGTATTCTTCGCTTTTGAAGGACATCAGAAACCTCGCCGCCAGCCGTCCGCAGTAGTTGACGGCAAGGTTTCTCGGCCACGGATGCTCCTCCGTCTCTGACATTGGCAGTATCGGGTCCTTGACCAGATCGTGAAGTTCCTTCCCTACAGAGATGATTAGCTGGCTAGCTCGCCGAATTGGTGCATCCTGAATACTCACAATCCGGTCCTACCAAGCCTCGTAACCCCCCAATCAACTCGGCCGCAGCCACGCCGCCGTCGGTGGCAGCCGTCGCCAACGAAGCGTCATCTAGTAGTGGGTTGAATGCTTTTGAACCATGCTCTTTGCTATGCGTTTGATAAATGTGGTGAAATTGCCACATGAACTGCTGAAAGGGCATCTTCTCGACCTGCTCGTTGACCTCGAGCACCTGCTTGCGCGTATAGAGCCTTTGCTTGCCGGCTCGGATGCTTATCTCGTTCTTCGAGAGGACAAACATGTCTGTCGCGCGCTCCATGTCCTCCATAAAGAGACAGACCACCAGGAAAGCAGCCAGGCACGGGGTCCACTCAAGTTTTGATCTCGGCTTCAACGACGTGTTGAATATGCGGAACAAGTCGGACACTTCACGCGCGAGTTGTTCGTCGATGAGGGCCTTGAGCTGTCGGTTAAGGACAACCGCGGTTGGATGCTTACCCTCGGGCATACTGAGCGTGGAGCAGCGAAGGGCGTCCTTGTTGCGGAAGAGCAGCTGGTGCATCAAGACGTAATGCGCCGTGCATATGGAAAGTGCCTTCTTGACCATTTTGGACTGTCGCCGTCAGCATTGTAAGAGTTCCTGAGGCAGGGCCATGGCGGTCTTACATCTGTTTTCCTGGCATAATTTTGAACCAGGTCGAGTATTTTCTTGGGAAGAACTATATCACCCAGCTCCTCTGTGATTTGCTTGGCATAATGTTCCTCTGTTGATAAAGAAGAAATGTAAGTACTGATCTTCCTTTTGACGGCTTCCTTCTGCGAGTCGGTCTCCAGATCCAACAGCAGTGGCACAGAGTCCTGCTTGTGCAGCTGGACCTCATTCTTCTTGACTTCCGAATGCCAACCGTGATGGGCGTCGACGTCCTTCGGCTGGAAGGTTAGTGCCTTGAGCACCAGGGTTGTTTGGAAGTGATCGCCAGAGTGTAGCTCAATTTGATACGATTCTGACGAGCGAGACGGCATGCCAACATGCTCTCTTATGAACTCGGCCATCTCGTCCCTTCGAAGGTGGGTTCGCATGAATTCGGGAAAGAGGACGGGGATGAACTCGGGAAAACGCCAGCAGACGAGCTGCGGAGTGCCGGTCCTGATTTTCCTGCAATTCCTACAGTCGCCATCTGCATCACACCTGACCTTCCGGCTCTTACAGCAGAAGCAAGCGCCCTTTATCCGGACTTTGAGTGCAGCTTCCTTCGTGGATGTGGCAAGGGGGCCCTTACGGCCCCGCTGCGTGGTGTGCATGCCTCCGTCGAAGCAGTTTGAGCGGCCAGCGGCAGTAGCGATATTGACTTGCTCGGCGGTGAAGACGAAGAAGGAGGTCTTGTCAACATCCTTCTTGGACTTTTGCACTCCCATCGGTTTGGCCTTCCGACTGGAGGCTGCGTTTGGGTGATTATGATCGCGGCGGGCAACGACCGATGGGGCACTGGAGCTGGGAGACGGCCGTGGGAGACTAGGGTCCTTGGAGTAGGGGCTCTCGTGGATGACGAAACGGCGGGTAGTGGGTGCATTGGGCGCCTTGGCCATAGGAGTCTCCTGCGTCTGTAGCTGTGACTCGCTGGACGTCCATGCTGGCCGTACGGGTTGATCCTCGGGATGGAAACCCTGGTCAAAGTCGAAGGTCAGATCCTGGGTCGGCGGCGAGCTGTCCGGTTGTTGAATGTGCTGTTGAGCCTGCGGTTGTTGTATTGATGATTGCTGTGATGCCTGGTACGACAAGTCTGCCGCGATGGGGTAGGGATGGATTGGCAAAGGGAAGCTAGCCATGTCGAACTGCTGCTGCTGAGGCAGCGGGCTGAAGAACCCAGAATGAAGAAAAGTTGCCATCTGATCGGCAGACATGACTGGCATATAGTCAAGGGCCATTGTCATGCCGACATCTCCGTTCATCGTGACCGCTGCGGCCGTCGTCGACATGGGCATCGACGGCGCTGTGGCGGTGTCTGTGGGGAAGGCGTAGGCAGCAGCACCATCGCCAGGATGGAGAGAATACGAGATCGGTGGGGTCTCTGCCTGGTCCCGGAACGAACCCGTACTCGGAGGAGGATGGGCATGGTAGGGTGGCGAAAGCCGGCTGGCCATGGGCGACCCGGCACCGGAGCCAGGAGCGGAAGCGGACGGGCGGCGGCTGGGGACATGAATGAAGCTCTGGAGGCTGCCGCCGGGACTGTTGAGAAAGTAGAGTGAGCTTGGGTTAGAGCAGCCACTGGCGTACTGTGAGTCCAGGTATTGCCACGAGTCTTCCGTTTCGCCTGCCGAGTCGAATTCATGGGAATGGAAGACCTGCGGGGACACGCTGAGGGACGACTTCATCGTGGGCTGCTGCTGATGGCGGCGAAGATCGATCGGAGGAGCTTGGAACTCTAGCGGGCTCGTGTTGGTGCCCGCCGATGGGTTGGTTGGCTTTCTATTCATACAAGGGCTGACTGTGATGTCACGAACCAGGGAAACTCGGTGGGATGATGCACTGAGCCGTTCGCTGGTCGTCGTTGATTAAGACGGCGTTGTCGTCCCACACCTGGCTGACGGTCGGGTCTCTCCCGCAAGGCGTTTTCGTCAATCGCGCCCACCTCACCCTGGCGTGTCGCCGCCGTTAATGGTCAATGTTGGCGATCTTTCGTTCGTCGTGAATGTGTCGCTACCAGAGCATGTTTGTTTGGCTTTTATATCTCATAAATCGGCTCCGCGAAAGGTCCTTTTCGAGATGTCTCAAGCCATGGTGCTCTCGTCAGCGCCGGGGTTGTGACGGAATGAGAAGCAGAAGAGAGACGCTCCCTCTCAAGAGGTGCCGAAGACCCTGGGGTTGGTCCTGCCCAGACCAACAGTCGGCAGCTCGCACCGCTCCTGCCTGTCCCACCCTGATGCAAGCTTGATTAAACACCGTCAACTGCCAAATCAGCTTCCGCTTCAGTTTGCTACAGAGACCCCGTAGGCGACCTTCACTAGTCCTATTTTGGACACCGAGCTCGACGACCTGATTCGGGTCGTGCTACGCTGCAATTGGCCAGCAACAGGGCCACTCTCACGATGGAGTTACTTCTTCATGAAGAACCAACAACAGAACAACAGTCTATTCCTGCTTGTTCAGAATGACTCGCCCAACCGTACATCTGGGAGACTCGCGGTCCAAGTTGGAACTTGCAGCTGGCACTCGGGATTCAAAGACCGATAGTTTGCTTGACCAATCCCAGCAACCCCATAACAAAGAACCTCAAATAGACACACATCACGACAGCACACGTCAGTCACACCCATGCAAGTCAAGTACGCAACTCTGCCAACTTTAGGTTGTTTAAATTGTCATTGTCAATTCATGAGGTACATGAGTTCGTCAGTCCTATCTGTGGTATCCTGGACCGGGGTTGGGTTGATGAGATAGAGACCTGGTGCTTCGCGTCATCGAACAGGGGCATGGCCGGACAACCCGGTCTCTAGGCCTGCTGCTCAACTCATCCTTTCTCCCGCAACATCGACGGGGTAGTAGCGTGTATGCATGTCGTCAAGGTAGTACGGCCCACCGCTCTGACACTTGTAAGGATGGGACACAGCCTTCTCCGAATTGGAACATGGAGACACCCTCTGGGTCGTTGCTCGATCATGAGAGCGACGGGCGCAAAGCAAAACATAAAGAGGATGAAAACAAGAAGCCCCAGAAGAACGAACACCAGTGCTGAAAAGAGGGCACAAAAGGGGGTGAAGACCTCAAACCCGGAACCGCGCCGCCGCAGCCCGATCTTGGATTTGCTTCTCCGTTTGAACGTATAACTGGTCGAGATATTTCATGGCGCTCGCATCTTTCAAAATTTTGGCCACCTGTATCCCCGCCGAGATGAGCTGCAGGATGTTGCGGTCGTCCTTCAGAGGCCGGCTCTGGTGTTTCGCAGCATGTCGCATTTCGAGTGAGTTCTCCAGAATGGTGACAAACTGTTTGATCTGGCCGTTGTACAGGACCCGTGCGGGGATGCGACGCTTCGTCGCCAGTCGCTTGAGAAGATATACCCACTCGGTCCACTCGCGGTCCTGTGGCCGTTCAACCGGTCGCATGTCCTGGGTGAGAGGAATGGGGAACTGATATTTGGCGACAAAATCGAAAGCACATTGTGATAGTCGATCGTTGACTTGCGACAGGACCGAATCTTGCTCCTGCACAAGGAGGTTCGTGGGTAGATGAGGGAGCTCACGCTCTTGTTGCGCGACATAATCTTGTGGGGGGCGAGCGAGAAACTGGTGTGGACCATCAAATTCATCGCGGTTTGAGGGTCGACGCCGTGGACGAGTCTTCCCTCCGGACTTGTTCTTGCCTGATGACGTCGGCTCGGTCCCGTTCTCTAAAGAGTAATCTGAAAGGTTGGAGGAAGCAATAATGTCGTCTACGGAGTCCGTGGGCGAGTATCTTCCCTGAGAGTCCCAGGCTTGCGAAGTCGTACTCTTATACGACCCGTATGCAGCTGCACCACTGGTGCCGTGCGACCCGGATAACGGCCGCGTAGAGTACGATGTGGCTGCCGCATGATGGCCGTTGGTTCCTAACGGCAGGTTGTATGAACTGACGGCAGGAGAATATTGTGAAACACTGACGAATACGCATTAGAATGCAGGGAGAAGAAATAGGCTTCGCGTCTGGCGTAGTATTCTTGTCCATACCTTGTTGTTGTTCGATAGAAATTGTTATCAAAACCTCCATTTTGGAAGGTATCACTGTATATCGAACTTTGAACGTGTCAGTCGCAGGCCGCGTTGCAAGTGCCATTTCTCAGCCAAGGGAGGTCCATACCTCCGTGAAGGATTCCAGGGTCCGTTGGACATGATGGTGTTCCTGTAGGCAATGTCCGGCTGGCTCATGTCTGTTTCCTTGGTCTGAAGTGATAGAAGCAAATAGCGCTGTGCAATAAACAATCCTGAGAGCCTGGCGTGGGAAGACTACATGAAATAAGAGCAGGGGCTCCGCTCAACTGGACAAGCTAGGTAGCCTGGAGTCCGACAGTGTCCTGGAAATAGTCTCTTTCTTCTTGGTCCAAGTATTCCTGGTAATCCTGGGGCAAGGCTTCCACAAACACACAAGGGAATCCACGGTAGAATAGACCTCGTCTCGGTAAGGGCTCCTGGGAAAGCGCACCTGGTTGGCGCAAGGCGGTGTGGATAAAGGTGAAGTGGCAGGTGATCGGTCCCAAGAGGTAAGAAAAAAGGACCTGTCTCCACGAGAAAGCAACTGAAGGGGTCCTTCTAGTATGTCTGTCTGCGTGGGGGGAAGGTATGACGGCAAACACTAGAGTATTAGTGCGGTGTTTTGTCTTGCTGGCGCAAACCAAAAAAGAGATCAAATACACGGTTTCCCAGGGCGGACGAGGGGTTAAAGGATGAGCGTGGTCGAGAATGGCGGCTAGAGATATCGGATCGGAGGCATTTTATGTTTGCTTGGAATGGTTTCTGAGTGGGACCCGGGGTCAAGAGAAGTGAGAAAGGTTGATCCTGGTCGAGAAGGCAGTGATAGTCTGACGGATGCCCCGTTCGAGGGTGAGCGGCGAAAAGAACAAGGACCGGGCGTGAAGCGCGTGGCTAGGATGGTCAGAATTCGCGATCGCCCAGTCACCAACACGACGGGACGACTGTGGTTTCAAGCGTAGACTTGCCGCATGGTCCAGAGGATACGTGACTGCCAGGGGGAGGTAACTAGCACTAGAAGATTGGGTCTCGCGGCTTCTCTGGGGTTCCTCCTTTTCGGCTCGGTTGGCGCTGGTGACTTTCGAGGGGGGGGTTGTGGTATGAGGCACGTTGTGGGCAAGGGAGGATCGGCGTCTATCGTGGTGAGGTTGCAACTTGACCCATGAAGCAAAAGTGACGACAGGTTGAACGACAGCGATGCTTCCGTCAGGGAGTACCCCAGACGACAATATGGTCTTAAAGGGGGGTGGGACTGGATTGGGTTGGATTCGTGATTGGGTGGAGGGCTCAACAGGCAAGACGGAGGATGCTCATGCCGTAGGGCACCGTTGGGCCGTGACGATGATCACTCAACCACAGACAGAGGCTGGTCCGATGGCAGGCGAAGGAAGAGGGTGGTGTTGTTGTTGCCCGAGGGGTTTTGGGGTAGACATAATGTCGCGGGTGGGATGAGTCGGGGCAGGGAAGTACCTGGCAGGGAGAAAAGCGGTGACAGGAAGCTGGGTTAGGCATGAAGCGTTACGACACGATGGACATGCCCAACTACCTACCTACCTTGCCTAAGGGTACCTTACCTACCTAACCTGCTTCTGCATGAGGCCATGCCTTGATGCCCACTCCACTCGGGCAAGCATCGATCTCAATGGCTGGAAAAGAAACTCATCTCTGCTGACTGAGGTGGTGAGGCGAGTTTGTTGAATGGGCGCCTCGGCGCGATGCAAGGGAAGGCGAGGCAAAGCAATTCTGGCGGCCCTGTTTTACATGTACACGGGCAGCACAGAGGGGGGTTCCCACGTAGAGAGTGAGGCGCCCGCTGAAAGGGACCCCTTCTCCATCGCTTCCATTGGATCCCGGTCATAAAAAAAAGTCGAACACCTCACATCGCCAGAAAACTATGCTTCAGCTCAGCTGAGCCAAGCTGCGCCGTGACTGGGTCGTCTCCTGACCCCGACTACCTTACCGACGGGATGAGGGACCGCTTGGCCGGAGACAAGTGCGTACATGGTACGTCGGCTGATGACGGCAGCCAACGCGCCGCGTTGGGGAAGGGTCTGGATCGTGGGTCACACGTGGACTTCGTTGGGCGATGCTGTCGCCCGATCGCCCCCTAGCAGTCTGCTCGACCTCAGAAAGAATCAAATGGCGACGAGAGATCGGGCACCGGGCACCACCCACCTCTCCAGGGCAGGGGCGAGGGGCGAGGGGCGAGGGGTGAGAGAGCGATCTCATCGTGTATGTGCGTACGAGGTCTGTCATGGTGCCCAGTCGGCCGATCAGCGGAAGGGAAATCTGACAGATCTCGGGGAGTCAGGGTCCTTGTTCTGGCGGCGGGGACGAACCGGTATTGGAAAACCGACCTACATATTCCCCCCAGGCAGAAAAGCGGGCAAACATGGCAAAGCGGACAGAGCGGGCGGAGCGAATGTGTGCATGTGTGTGCGTGTAACAAGGTGTGTTACTGTACCAGCACCAGCACCAGAACGGCCAATATTAGCGCCGTGGAGCCTGACCGAGTTGGTGCATCGACCCTAACTCTGAGATGCATCACCTCACCTGCCTTACCTACTTTTAGGTACTACACTACTACATTGCCTGCCAATGTGTGAATGCATGCACGGGCAAAGCCAAAGGAACAGATAAGAACAAAAGCAGGAAGACATGACTTAGTCATCCTCACACAACTACCAGATGGTTCATGTGCCGAATGCCACTCTCAATTAAAACAATAGAAACCTGGTAAACGAAAGCGCCACCGCCCAGGGATCGGTTATTAATCGACGCTTGCACGTACCCGACGTCGTTCGTGCCTCCCCCCCCCCCCCCCCATACATGTAATTCAAGAAATGTCGGTGCCAACGCATCAGTGCCTCGACTCCAACAACTCCATGCCCCAACTCTTCTTGCCGGCCTCCCTGACCAGTCGTCCTGGGTGAATAAACATGTAAAGAACCAGAATCAGGGTGATAGGAACGGCGTCAAACAGATACAGGAAGACTTCGTGGCTCATGACGACGCCATCGCCGCCCTGCAAGTACTCGACACCCCTGACCAACGCCCGAGTCAACATGGCTAGAGTCGCGACGTAGCTGGCCGCGAAGTATCGCGAGCCGTTCAGTGGAATTGGTCCTCCGACCTTCACCATCGCCAGTCTCTTAGCACAGCGGTGGGCGTGAAGGTTGGAAAACGTGAAGAGGGACAGCGCCACGAGCTGCGCGATCAGCCCGCCGATGATGAGGTTCCTGCCCAGCGCGATACCCTGGGGGTCACCGGATGCCGGCATGATTGAACCGAACACTTGGGTGACAAAACACCCAATGTCCACAATGATGTAGAACGCCGTCGTGAGCCTTGGACTGATCGGAAGGTGCTCGCGGAGGTCGAGCGCTTTGATCACTCGACTGAGGCTCATATACACTGTGGCGGCGATGAGCGGGGCCATGCCCAGTATCAGGAGGTTCTGGATGATGAAGGGACCAGCGACGTTCGGACGGCTGTGGGCCATCACTCGTCCATAGTAGCCGAACGCCTCGCCTGGCACGCACAGTTAGCAGGGCCGGGGTTTGAGGTGCCGCGACAATGGTTCCTACCGATGGTGCCCAGGATGAGCGGCAGAAAGTGCCAAGCGCGCAACTTGAACAGCAGGAATATATGAATAAGCGTAGCCAGTCCGAATATGACAACAAAAGTCCAGCCTGCCTCTTGGCTTGGAAGATAGTGGTAAAAGACAATCTGCGTGCCGTTGACAATGGGACCAAAAGGAGGCCCCTCGGCATCGTAGCTGACACCAGACATGATGGGATCTGCGTGTGAAGATGTCGTGAAGAACAATAGACTCGGTCGGTAGAAGTTCGTGGGCTTGTCGTCGGGTCGAGGTTTGTCGAAGCTTGAGATTCGGTCCCAACGGTAAACAGTCAACGCTGAGAGCTTTGGATGGAACGCATCATGTGAAAACGAGGGCCTCATATATCAACTAAACGACGACGGTGTGGATGCCATGTAGTCTAAAAACAGTCCTAGGTATCATCATGAAACTACCCCTATCGACGACGCAGACCCCCAATTGAGGACCTTGCGCCTGCTCCGGTTCAATTAACTCGGGAAAAAAAACGAAAATTCCCCATACGCCTGAATAGCGATGACTGAATCGATGGGGAAAAGTGGGCAAAGGGCGATGGTGTTTGACGATGAATACGCATATTCGGACCCGAATACGTAAAATCAGCCGTCCTCCCGGCACGTGAGGCGTTGCCACAGCGTGGGGACATCATGCCTGCCAACGACATCCTTGGTTTCGTGAGAAACAGTAAATGTAAGCCGCAACCTTGATGTCGTTCGTCTTGAAAGATAGAAGTATTCCACTGATGTCTAAAGGTGTTACAACATTGGGTACCTTGTGCTGCTACGTAGCATTTATTGTCGATGCGAGCTGCTAACATTCATGTCCCCCTTTTTTTCTTTTAGCTCGCAACAGATGCATCCAGTCCATCACCAGTTTGCACAGATTGTCGGTGGGAGACAAATCCAGGCTTCAGGAATGTCGCTGGCTCCCCTCCGCGGCCAGTGCTTGAGGAGCATGTTCCGGTATTGAATCGGGCGCGCCGAAGGGGACTTGGGAGACGATAGCCCCAGCCCTAATAGCAAGTGGATGACCTTCAATCAACATGGTTGACACATAGGGTACCTAGGTAGTATAAGAACTCCGTCGCATGCCGTCATTCTAGCTGTTGACCCTGCAAGGGATCTCCTTCTCGAACGAAATCTCCAGTCGACTCCTTGGGAAACTGTGAAGGGCATGTGGGATGAATGACTAAGCAGTGCGGGTCGTAGTGGGCGTTGATGGATATTTCCGATTGGACCAGGTTCATGCACCTCTCGTGTAGCACTCTAGCGTCAAATGGGGGCAGCCAATTAGTTGCATCGTTTCTGCTGGATCTGTTCCTTTAGGACTGATGGGTTCCTCATGTGACGTGAGGCTAGCCGTGACCTCATTCCCATGATGGAAAACGATGGTGAGATCTCGCACATAAACCATTGACTGTATCTCACCTGTTTGCCACAGGTACGACGCAAGATCGCACTATCTGCGTCCTTGTCAGCGAAAAACTCCTTCAAGACCTCGAAAAAAATCACAAGTGACGACGTCACGAAGCCAAGGCAACCGAGGGAGCTTTCAAGGCGGTTGAAGCACGACATGCAATGTCAGCACAGCTGACAAGGAAACGCCCGCGAGATGGCACCCCCGAAGACGCGAGTTCGCAAGTTTCACCGCCGTAGCAAGAATGGGTGTGTTGTTTGCAAGGAGCGCCATGTCCGATGCGACGAAAGACAGCCGCTCTGGTGAGTCCTCGTGCTCGCGAAAACAGCGACGGACCAGTCTGACGCTCAGTTCAACATAGCACCAATTGTCTGCAGAATGGCACACAATGCCGCTATCCTCCGCCTGCAGAGGCCAAGAGAAAAACGACGCCGCCGGACGCCGTCCTCGTTCGACCCACAGTTACTCCCAGTCCGACGTCTCTCCTGCCGACCAGCCATGCCTTTGCTGGGTTTGGCAAGGACTATCAATTGTCTAACAAGTCAAAATGGCTCTTCCATCAGTGTGGGTTATTTGCAAGAACATCCTAGAACCCGTGAATCACTCTTGTTCATGGGTTCGGCCCATGTGCGAACATTCGCTAGCGACGACGCCACTCGCCAGTCGAAGCATTCTATGTGGGACGCGACAGCCATCGAGCGGGTGCAAAACGGATGCGGGTGTTGTCTATGGAGGGTGGGGTGGGGTGGGGGAGGAGTGGGGATAAGGCGGGGGGGAGGGGGGGGGGAGGGCCGGACAAGGAGAAGAGGGATATAGTATTAGTTGGGCATGAGGCTAAACACAAGGAGGCAACAAAAGGGGGGGGGGGGCCTAGGGACCCGGAAGCTGTGGTCGGTGGTAAAGAGGCGAGAGGTAACCGGTTGGG